TCTCTTTCACGGAAACCAGACTAAGGGAATGGGGGGATGCGGAGGACATTTGGGGTGAAAACTCTCCGGAGAGGGATGGAAGGGGTTGCGAGAGCAGGTGGCTGGCATCCATGGGGGGTGGGGGGGAGGCGGAAAGTAGTGCAGGACAGTCGGTGCTGCAGAGGGGAGGCCCAAAGGCTGTCCTCTCCCCCTTCAGTCCCCCCCTCCCCAACATGCACACTTTGGAGGAGGTGGTTTCTGCTCCCCAGTCCCACATTTCTGAGCCCTTTCAGGTCATGGAAAGGAAAGGGTGAGGGGCGGAAGGGGCGGCGGACTAATGACCCAGTGCTAAGTTGAGGCTCTCAAAGATTGAAAACTATGTTGGGTGGGGTCGAAGGGTGGGTGGGGGGAAGATCAGTAGCTCTTAGTCACTGGGAACAGCTCCCTTGGCTCATCCTCCCACTCCCCCCCCCTCCAGTGTGCACTGGAGCATTTGCTGAGGCAGCTGCTCCCTTTGTTTAGGGCGTGTGGGGTAGGAAGGGGGGGGGACAGATCTGTGTCTTGCTGGGACAGTCACTCTCTTGTCTCTCTCACAGGCCAAGGCACGGCTGTGATGTGCGGAGACTGGTTGCTCCCATTCATATATCCTCCTCCCCCTACTCCTTCCTGGCTTGGAAGTTGGCGGGAGTTGGATTGAGGCCTGGCAGCCACCCTCCCTATCTAGGGGGTGGGGGGGGGTCCCTTGAAAATTGCCACTGTTTTTTCTTTTAGGGTGCCTTTCCCTAAGAAGTAGCCATTTTGTTTATTTAGGAGAAAAATTGAATTGGCACTCACTATCCACAGCACCCCTTGGTACAGTTGCATTGCATTAAAAAGTAACTCCCTCCCTGTGTTATGTACAAACAAAACAGGACAATCTGCCTTCTTTGCACTGAGTGAGCCCAGAAGACCTTGTTCGTGTATGTGTGTGTGTGTGTTTAACACATTCGTCATTAGGATACTACTGTCATAGGCCCAGCATGGCATGATGCCAAAATGAATCAGCTATCTTTTCTCGAGGCCTGTGAATACCACCAGCGTTGCTGTCTGATTTGAGCAATACCCTCGTACAGCAAGCTACGCCACCATTTTAGGCAGCCAGATATTCCTTAATAAGGGTGGCAGTATAACATCTGATGTATAGTGCCTAAATCAGGGCTTAGCCTCAGTGCATAATCCTGGAATTTATCAACAAATAAGAAAATAAAAGAGTGAGTTGAAGGACAAGTAGGCTTCCTCTCCCTCCCCCGCTAACAAAAACTAGCTGCTCCCATACTGAGATTTTGGGACAGATCTTCCAAAATAGACTCTTTTCCAAGCAGGTTTGAGCCTTCCCTCTATTTTATTAAAAACTAGGCTTTGGGTAGGAGCCTCCTCTTTTTGAGACAATAACATTTCTTAAGAATGCTTTTTGTTAGATGAGTTGTAAGTTTTCAAATTGTACTTATTTCAAGATTGTAAGCTTTCAAGTGGCACAGAGCTATTCTTCAGGCAATAATAAAAAGGAAATAATGTAATGTCTCTACTGCCTGTGGAATGTTTCTGTTAATCCTGGAAGCCTGATGCGTTGCTCAGCCTGTTGCTTCAGGGGCTTGTTTGTACAAGTTTGTGATATTAATGTAAGATCACTATCTTGAAATAATAACCTTTGTCTCTACAAGTAAAAAATACGAGTAAGATTCTGCCATATTCTTGTTTACTGTCTTGGTTCATTCAAAGGTACTCTATATGGCTGGGGACTCTGAACTCTACAAGTGTCATGGATCTGCTTGAGTTTACAGCTCTCTTTCTCTACTTGGTTAGACTATAATTCTCATCTTACTGAACTGCAAAGGCCATGCACGCTAGGATGATGGAAGCTGTAGTAGTCTAATATTTTGAAGGATACCAATTCTGCAGAAGTATGACTTAGCCCAAGAATACGCATTTAAACTGTCCAGAGTTGTTGAGAGTTGGATGGCATATAAATAACAACAACAACAACAATAATAATAATTATTATTATTTAAAGACAATATCAAAAGCCCCTGATCTTGTCATTGGTTGTCAGATCTTTTTCTGTTCTTTCAACCTATCCAGGGAATGTCTAACAGAACACAGAGAGTTTATTGAAAATTCAAGTCTTACCATCCTAGAGTTAGGACAAATTAATACAACATGGATGTAAATAATTTTAACTGACATCTTCTTCCTCAGGACAACTGTGGATCTGAGGAGGGCTAGATTCCTTAAATTTTTAAGATTCTTGCTAAATACAATTCCTGTGATTTCCCTGGGGTAAGAGAGAAGACCTGATGGTTATATTGCTGTGAAACAAATCTGTATTGTGGAGTTTGCTTAACAGAGGACTTACAATACTATCTACATTCACTGTAAAACTGTCCTTTGAAATATATAAAATCAGCACAATCCATATAAATGTGCAGTGTATATCAGGGGCAAAGCATATGCCCAGAGTAATATGTATATCATTATTTTAGATTATAATTCTGAGGGCATAGATAAGGTCTGTGTCTTATCATGTTTTATGTATATAATGAAGAAAAACAACAAGGAATGACGTCAGCAAGGTTAAGGGAGACTTGTTTTTGAGGTGAGTGATAGGCTGAATGCACAGAATATAGCCAAAACATAATGTGGTGGTTTGGTTTTGGTTTACTGTGTGGTGCAACCTATCCCTTTTGGTTTCGAAACCAGAGTTTATGACTTGGTGTGATACATAAGCCCTGTTTATTATAGGTTATTCAGTAAACCACAACTAAATGAATATGACTTAATGCAGTGTGTGAGTCAAATCATAGTAAATAAACAGTCAACTTTCTATAACTCTTTCTAAAAGCAGTGGTTAATAGTTGTGACATCTTTCTTTAGTTGTGAATTATTTTGCCCAAACAGATATGTTACTGAAACAATACCTGGAATGTATACCACTTTATTCTGGAGAGTTTGGGACTGGCATGACTGCTCTTCTACTGAAAAATATATGCTTTGCCCAGATGTAAGGCTGAAGCGACTAGATGTTAGTCTAGCCTCTCTGATCTGATGGCTCTGTAAGTACAGGAAGTTAAAAAACAAAACAAAACACGAAGCACTCAGCTGTGCACACACAAAGTCAGTTCTGTGGAAGGCATTATCTTACTATGGTGAATATAACCTCTAGATAGATAATTTCTCATAATTCTTCTCAGATCTTTCTTCTGTGAGGTCTGTTGCTATCTGGGGGCAGGGTGAGTACTGTATATCATATGGTAACAACATGAGTTCACAGCTCTGATTCATTCATGCTCAACCCTGCTATGAATGTAAGTTTAGATTTCTGCCCTCCAACTGTTTCTCCTTTTGCCAAATCCCCTGAATGCAGAGGAGACTACCTTGTTTCACCTTGCTACTTCCGACATTCTCATTGTTAGCTTTCATACGCCATATAAATCCTTTCTTTTCTAAGACAAAATTCATAAGGATAAAACATCACACAGCAGATTCTTTCAGTATGCAAGATTGTAAAGGCATTCAGAATAACTTACTTCTGATCTATCACTTCAGCTAGCCTTTTATATTCATACATCATAGTGGCTAAATAATATTTTTAATTTTTATAGGTTAATGCTCCAAGTAATAGTTATTTCAGGTTAATTAAGCTGGGGATGAGAAAAAAGAGAATAATTTATGTTGGCTCAGAGGCCTAGAAACAGACCCCATTCGTTACAGTGGATATTCTCTCCTGCATTCCTAGAAAAGGTGAATTAAATTGGGCTCATAACTCAATTTGTACAACAATCACTATGCCAAATTTATGCCCCAGTGCAGCTACTTTTCTTCCAGAAATAAAAAGGGTACTTTGCAAGCAAGGCATGGTATCATAAAAGTGGCAAGTCTAAACTTGTTATCAGTTCCAACTTAACTGTGTTCACATGTTAGGCTAAACCTTAATGTAGTTTGCTTGGTATTGGCATAGTGTGTAGAACTAGCCTTTGCAGTTTATAAACCACTTTATTTTAAGACAGGGAAGCAAAAAATATAGCCTGGTAGTGGGACGCAGCCCATCATAATCCCTTTTGCACTGCCCAGAGTGAGAGGGTCCACATGTCTTTACATGGATTTAAGACCCATTTTGCCTATTTAATCACTGAAATTTTGCAAAAAGTCTTGGCCCCATCCATTTTTGGAGTACAGCACCCCGGAAGTTCTGCAAGGCCTACTGAAGCCCTTGACCCAACAGAAGTTTCAGGCTCCTGATTTATGGTTTAGCGTTATTTGTGAACCCAGCTAGTATAGCTTGATCATCAATGCCTGATTAAGACAAACCATGGCTTAGCATGATATATGAAACCAGAATTCAGACTGCCTTTGAAATCCAGCTTTATATCCAAAGTCATATCATGACTGAACCCTTTATAAGAGCTATAATAGTTGTAGCTTCCCCAAAGGATCCTAATAATTGGTGATCATGCTTAGAGATTCTTACCTGTTTCCCTCTCTACAAAAATAAAAAACAAAAAGTGACACAAATGCCCTAAGATCCATGCATCAGATTAGTTTTCCCATGATCTTAGCGGAACTTCCCACTCATTTGTAAAATTCACTAGGCAATCCTGAGCTAGGAAGTATTTCTGAACCGACATAGCCTATGTGAATTAAAAGGTGGGAAGAGACCTATATGTGCCGTCTCCAGCTTCTTGGAATAAGGACAACAAAATTATACTTAAAGATATGTGTCTGGCACACCCATTTTCCTCTCTAACATAAATCAACCTTAATTCTCTTGGATAGCTCCTGCCCTGCTCCAGTTGGGATTTTAGGCCAGAGGTGGGTGGTGCAGTTTGCTGGAGCAGGGCTAGCTAAGACTTTCACCCACAGAGCATGGGTCACAAAAAGAGCAGAGGTCGGAAGAATTCCAGAGATGGTTTGCCAACATTTGTAGGTTGAGATCCACATGGATATCATTGTAAAGATGACAGCTTTGCCTGAGGCGCAGCGGGGGAGAGATGTGCACCTTTCAATCCGAGCTCACCTGCTTATGGTATTGGGGCATATCATCTGTATGTATCTTTGCCCAGAATTTCCTGGCATTTGTTTTTTTATATTATCAAACTTTGGGTGGGGAAAGCAGGCTACCAAGAGACCCACATATGCTTTTCTACATCTTAATACTAGGTCTATAAACTACGCAGAGGAAATAAAGCTGTTAAAGCATTGAGTTTTTGTCAAGGGGGAAACCAGCACTGGGTCAGCTTCTCCTCTCCCTTGAACAACCCTCCACCTCCTACTTTATTTGCTGCCTCCTTAGATTTATCTCTGGTTCTAGCTGCCCTCTCTTTTCTTCCATAAAGCCATCCTTGCCAGCTCACTGTTTCCTTTTCTTCGGGTGCTTTGTTTCCTTCTTGCTCATAGCTTTGTATAAATGTTCTTCACAGCCAAAACAATCTTTTCATAAAAGCTACTGTTTATTATTTCATTCTGCTGGTAATGGTTTTGCTTGTGGACATTCCCTGGTATTCTTGTAGGTAAGCTAACATCAGGGGGAGGAGGAAGGGATTGTAAACTACACACACATATAATATTCCAGAATATCTCTGGAACAGGAACAAATAATATCCAGAAGGGGTTCCTTCAGCAGAAGGTCCTCATATAACAGGTGTTGCCCACACAATTTATTTATATCCCCTTTTCTGAGTTCCCAAGCTGTGTGCTCCTGTTTTTATTGGCATTAAAACAGGAAACTTAGGTTTTCTATTACTCTAGAATTCTGGGTGGGTGTTCTGTTGAACTCTGCAAAGTAATGGGATATTATACACGCAAGTGCTTGCACTGTGAGATTCTTTGAAGCACTGGGAGATATTTGGTAACATTGAAGCTCTTAACACAGAGTTAGCTCTGTTGGTATTCCAGTTTTACTCCAACAAGCTTCCTTAACTCTTATGCAAATAGTGACTTGCCCAAAGTAGTCTCTTGAGTTTCATGATCCTACGCTGAAATAATGTTGATTTTTCCACTTCCAAGGACAAATTTCAACAATGGCATCTACCTAGATCTCTGCTCCAACCCAACGAAAGTGTTTATCTGCATCACACAAATTTCTCTTTGGAAGATTCAGCGGGGTCAGTTTTGATGGATCTGATTAAAAGTTGTCAGAAATAATCACTGCAACTAAGTCAGCTGGACTTGAGATACCACCTTTCCCTACATCCCTTTAATATTTGCATGAGATGAAGAACAATGAAAGTGATGCATTTTGTTTCTCTTGAACTGCTGCTTACATCTGCTCCCTGCTTCTGCCTGGTTTGAACTTGCCTGCAGCAAATATAAAACGTATGGAAGGTGGAAAGCAAGGGGTGGAAAAGAATAGTTAGCTGCACTCTGTCTTTTGCAATGGACAAACATTTCCCAATTGCAATTTGAAAATGTTTTATTTGGATGTCTTTCTTCCAGTTTTCTCACTGCTGAACTCCTCCTGCTTTGACAACCTAGGAAATACTGGTCCAAGATCCACTGTAGATAAAATTCTTGCTAGGTTTCTATAAATCACTTACTTTATGACAGTGGACTAAAGATTGCCATGCTGTGTCACATCAATGTTTAAAATAAGTTTTCATCTCTAGTCTGGGAACATCAGGGCATAATTTTATTTATTTATTGCAAGGACAGCCCCTGACTACAAGTTTACAATTTAAAAAGAAGGAAAAAGGGATGGGAGGAAAGTGGAAAAAAACAGGGTCAGGCATCCATTATTTGAAATAGTACTGTAGTACTGAAATCATCAGCTTCATATAGTTCAGGAAAGAGACTGATGGAATTGATTTTTCAGCTCAGTTGATAGATCTCCATTTATTATTTGTCTGTTGCTGCTGGATGATAGTTGAGAAAAGAGCCCAATGGAGCTGGTCCCCAAGAGATATGTACTAGCCATGCTTCTGTTCTTAAAGTTATGCTGGAACTCAGCTGGAAACTACCCTTGGACTCTGCTAGAAGACTTATCCCTGATAGGTGAAGACTCCCTCAACTGTGTAGTAGTGAAGAAAGTACACTGTGAACAATTTCATGGACACTTAGTTCCATTCCACATACACCAGAGGGTTTAAGATATAGCTATAGAACAAATTAAGTTCTGGGGAAGCATGTGTGGATAAAAATTTCATACTTAACAAATAGTGGTCTGGTTTGCTCACCATTCTAAGCTATGCCTTGATAACCATAGTTTACAGAATATATCACTGTTGGTTGGGTTTGAACAACATTGAGAGCCAAATGTGAACAAACCATATTATGGTATGAGCATAGTCTTTATGAATTTCAAAGTGGCCTCAACCTTTGTTGATAAAACTCTTACCTTTCTTCTACTACCATCACCACCACCACCCTTTGCTGCAGCTGATGCACCTACCTATCAAGGGTGACATGTCAACTTGGCTCTCACTGGCTGCTCCATCACCAGTCAAGGACTAAAGCATGTGATCAGGAGCACCATGGAGGTGAGTGGTTTGAATCAGAAAAACGGGTGAGTATAACTGGATAAGGAGCTCCTGAAATGCTTCCCCCCCCCCACTATTCTCATCATTAGCCATAGGTCAAACTAGAGGTGAGTAAGCTCCTCTAGGCTCACCTCAAATTAACTTGGCAATGGTCCAAGTTCTTTTATCCTCTGCTCTGCTCCCCCTTGGTGAAATACTGATTTTTAAAATCCACTTGAGGCCTGGAAAAATAATCCCTTTTAATGGGGGCAGGGTGGAGAGGGCATACTATATTTATATATATTTGATTTTATTTATTATATCCTACTTTTATGCATATACTTCGTTCCAAGGTGGCTAACAACTAGGTCACAAGTACTCAAAGAAAGGGTGGACAACTCAACAGAATTCTGCCATGGCAATCCAGGGCCAGCAGGAACAAGCTTTTTTCTCTTGCCTGCCACTAGTTCCTTCTTCTCATAGGACTCTTGGCATCAACTGGGGTCAGAATGGGGCGTAGTGTGATGGAAACAGGAATAGGAGTAATTACCAAGATAGCAGAAGTCCCATCTCCACTAGGAAACTCTTGAATGTAACGGGACAATTCCAGTCTATTCCATTCAGCTGAAAAAAGGGGAGAAGGAGCAAGAAATCCCAATAATGCTTTTCTAATATTAATTTTACTCTTAAGCCTAAAAAGAGTCCTGAGGTTTGCCTTTGAGGCAGAATTTACAATCCCATCAAATTCGTTTTGCAGTTCAATTTTGCATGTATCTTTCATTCCACTGACTGGTCTGAAGGCCTTAGCCATTCTTTGGTTTACAACCATGTTTTCCTGTCTTATCACCTCAGGATATAATTCCCCAAATTCACTCCTGTTTTTGTTGACACAAAGATTTATAAATGTTAGTTTCCAATGATTGATTTTCCAAAATGCTCTTGGTGAAGGAGCTTTCACACCTGCTTTTGGGAGTCTCCATTTTCCAATTTCCCCTAACAATCAAGCAAAGCTTCTGCTTTCCAGTCATAGGAAAGAAAGTTATTTGGCTGTGTTATCTCTCAGCTGCTGCTTTGCAAAATGCTGAGTGGAAAAGTTGCTGGCTGAGGACAGAAGGGTTTCTGTTTGTTTTGTACAAAGGCTGCATATCAGCCACCAGTTTGCAGACTGCACTGTGGGAAATCCAGAGTTCTGTCTCATTCTGCAAGGAAGTTAATGTCATTCTTCTTTTCCTGTACCAACAAGCTGTTATGTTACACTGTAGTATCAACTGATTGAAAAACAGACTTAGGGAAAGAAATGATTCAATTCCAAGGTCCTAACTTTCTTTTTTCCCCTTCTTTCCTACAGGGTGCAGATTACCAATTGCCTTCTGCCAACACAGCTAGTGTTGCCCTCCCTTCTCCTTCCTCCTCTTCCTCCTCTTCCAGTGATGAAGCTGATGTTATGGCTTTCAATGGGGAGCTGGACTTGCAACGTTACTCTAATGGGCCAGGGGGGCCGGGAGGGGAGGCTCGGCCTTACCCCTGTCCTATCTGTGGCAAGCGTTTCCGCTTCAACAGCATCCTGGCATTGCACACCCGCATCCACACCAGCTCCTATCCACTCACTTGTCCCTACTGCGGCCACAGGGCAGGGCAGCGTGCCAGCCTACGTCTCCACCTGCGCTCCCATTGTCCCGAGGCCCATGCCCGGATCAGTCACCAGAGCCGCCTGCTGCTTGAGTTGGAGGAGCGGGCACTTCTGCGGGGTCATGAAGAGGAAAAGGAGGAGGAGGAAGAAGAAGAGCTGGCTACTCCTATTCCACCCCAACCCCTACCCACCTTCCGCTGCTCTTTCTGCAAGGGCAAGTTCCGCACTGCAGGAGAGCGTGAACGCCACCTTCGCATCCTCCATCAGCCATATAAGTGTGGGCAATGTTCCTTCGCTGCCACGCAGGAGTCAGAACTGCAGTGGCACAACCAGCAGGCTCATAACTCCCCAGCGGCTTGGACACCCACCCCTCCTGCCCCTGTGCCCACCACTACAGCCCCACCCACCCCTCCTGCCTCCACGCCCACCCCTTCCTCCTCTGCCTCCACCCCTACAGAGTTCCGCTGCCAGGTCTGTGGTCAAGCCTTCACCCAGTCCTGGTTCCTCAAGGGTCACATGCGGAAGCACAAAGACTCCTTTGACCACAAGTGCCAGGTGTGTGGGCGCGGCTTCAAGGAACCATGGTTCCTGAAAAACCACATGAAGGTTCATCTCAGCAAGCTGGGTCTCCAGAGTGAACAAAGAGGGTCAGGGCCAGGACGGTCAGCACAGAGCTTACTCGTGGGTTGTGAGGCCCTGTATCCATCTCTCCTCTCTCCTCGGCCAACAGACAAAGCCAGTACAGGCAGTTTCCTGGGTTACAGTGATGCGAGCTGTGCTGAACGACTGCAGGCCACAGCTCGAGCAGTGGAGAGTAGTCAGCAGTGGAGGGAACGTTCTTATGTGGTAGGGTCCAAGCTTGTGAGAGAGGACTCAGGAGGGAACCATCGCTGCCCAGACTGCAACCGGACCTTCGGTACATTCCAGCAGATGGCCTTGCACCGGCAAAGCCACCTGTCCCGAGAGAGAGAATGGAACAAGGGGCAGTCACTGGGTTCTCACCTTCTCACTGGACATTGGCTTCCAACAAATGTGAGAGCTTCTACTGCAGCTAACACCAGCCCAGCTCTGCTGACCCAGAAGGAAAAAGGCAAGTACAGACAGAATCCAGGCCATACTTAGCAATTTTATGGGAATGAGTGTGCTGGGTGGAGGTGATTGACTTTGGTCAGAGAATAAGAAACAAGACTTTCATTTAGTTTGAGGCAGACAAGCTTTTAATGGCCAAGGGCTGCACTTAACTTGGGCAGAATTGAGTTTTTCAAGTCTCTTGAATTTTGGGAGGGAATTTGTGATGTTTTTTCTTTTAAAAAAAAAACCCTATAGTTGCATGCATGAATGTAGGCATCCCTAGTGAAATTATATGCTTCAGTGAATCCCCAAGCAAACAGAAGCTGACACAACCTCTACATGGTGCAAACCTAAACAGGCCATCTTCCTGCAAATTTGAATGCATAATTACTGCTTACATGCAGCTGTTTACAGATTCAAAATAAGGAAACTAGTACAAAAGTCTGGATACCCTTCAGACTGTACTTTGTAATTCTTCCTTTGACAAAAATAACAAATATTTCCTGAAGCCAGCTGAGAGCATTTCTGTTCTTACTTTTGGATATTTCCTTGCAGAATTCTTTTTTTATTTTTGGTGCCTTCAAGTCAGTGTTGACTCTTGGCAACTGCCTGGACTAGTCCCTGCAGTTTTCTTGCCAAGGTTTTTCAGAAATGGTTTGCCATTGCCTCCTTCCTAGGGCTTAGAAAGTGTGACATGTTTGGGATCCTCCCACAGATTTTCAAAAATATTCAAGTTTGTGGACTATGAAGGCCACTCCAAAGCCTTTATCTTTATTTCCTGTATTTCATAGGTGATTTAGAGGCTTGTTTCATATCATAACCAGGATGAAATATCTGATCTCTTTTCAAGTTCAATTTCCTCAGTTCTAGAATATGAGCTTCTAGAATATGTGGATATTTAGTTGATTCCACTCATACTCTGTTATACAACCCCAAAGTATAATAGAGCCAGCCCCATGCTTAATAGATGGTATGATTTTTCTTTGCAAATGATCCATCCTTTTACCTCCAAATGTATCTTGCCGGTGGAGCCATCAGTCCAAAGCACTTTCTCCCAAAACATTCCAAGCTTGTCAGGGTTTTCTATTACTTACTTTAAATGGTGACTTTTGTGAAGAGGTCAGAAAAAAGGTTTCCTTCTGGTAACATTCCCACGCAGATAATTATTGCATAAGCAACACTGCACTGTGGGTAACTAATCCAGTGTCAGCTAAACTTTTCAGCAGGTTGTTTTGCAGATCTAACCACCTTTCATGCAATCATAACAGAGATTTTTTTTTTTGGTCTTCCAGGTCTTGTTGACTCAACAATTCTGTGTAACTTTCATTTCTTAACAGTTTTTCTCAGAATTGAAATTGTTAGCTGGAAACTTTTAAATATTTTTTTATAGCCTTCCTTTGCTTCATAATGGAATTATGTTCATTTGTTCAGGCAGCTGCTCAGAAGAGCTCTTGGTTGTTGAAAATAAACAGAAGAACAGTCAGAGCTTGAGAAGTTAGAAGGGTTAGAGTATTTGCTCACCTGTGGAGTTGCCTTCACCTGAGAAACTGTAGGCCTAACAAATCAATCACCTTTTGGGGCTTTAACAATTTGACAGTAATAAAAAAGCAATGAATCAACTGGGTGCTGAAATTAAAGTGTTGCTCTTTATTCTTAAGTAACTGCACATAACTAGTAAGCATGAATTCAGATTTGCAAAACTTTGTACCATGTAAAAGTTGTATCATCTTCTGTTCACTTAGGAATTTACTAAACTAAGCAATTTAACCAGAGGTGCCTAAACTTTTGCATGCAGCTTAAGTTATTAAAAGCTCACTGAACATTATTCTTGGGTTTTCTACTCTCAGAATAGTGGAAAATCACGTTGGAAATGTTCAGCAATCATGATCAGAGCTGCAAAAAAATTGTGTTTTGTAGGGCACATGTGCCCATGGATTTAAACTGATTTGTGCTTTAAATACTACAAGCAAGTCCTTATGTCACGCAGAATCCTTCCTTCCCAAACAATACAGAGAGAAATAAAGATATTAGCCATGTTTGCACAATGTGGCTGACCCAGCCAGCTGCTTTCCTGATTACTCATCCCATATATACTGCATGATCAAGAGTCAGCTGCGAAGCAGCCATTTTCTGGGTCTTCCAAATTACTGCAAAGAAAAATGGGATGTGTTTGTGCATGAGATATTTTTGGGGGAGGAAACCTCCCCCCATCCCCAGTGTAAAAATCCTCAGGGTTTCAGTCGAGAGCAACATCAGGCAAAATCTTTACCCTTTGGTCTCTGACCAAGATGATGTCATTTGTTCCTGCCAATGCCAACTTGTAAACATCCGTGGGCAAGCAGAATTTGGCTTTCCATGCTCTATGCATGCCAAACTGGTTTGATAGGATGTGCCAGGTAACACATGTGCCATGGGAATGAAGCACCCCTCTTCAGCACAGGTAGAAGATATATTTCACTTGCCCTGACGCACATCTCAAAGCGCCTCTTCCAATGCTTTCTCCAGCCCTTCAACACACTGCTCCTTTGACATTATTGCCTTTGCTTCTTAGTTATAACAAGTTCAGTTAAAGAGATTTTGTCTGCCTCTCTCAATTCAAATTATGCAGGAATTATGAAGGAAATGCAAAGTATGTTGTGAAAGCATAGAGTACATTTATCAAATGAATACGGCATGATGTACAGTAATTCTGTAACATTGCTTCTAAGTACATTTTTATAGCATAAATGCATTCCAGTTTCATTCATTTCATTGTTCTGAATTTTCTCAGAAGATCCAGGGATGTATCTTGGTGAGAGTGCTATGCATTTTCTAAGAGCTTCCAAGCTCCACAGAGACCTACAGTTCTTGGGATTCTTGATGAGAAATAATTTGTTATTAAACCAGATTAAATCTGTGATGTAGAGATGGACTAATTTTCATACTATTTGCCTCTTTGGAAAAAAAAAAAAAGCTATAAGGTTGGAATCACATTGTGTTACTTACAAGGGGATTTTGTCATGTCAGTTTGGATGGTGGATATGTTGTTTAGATATGCCCTCAGGTGGCAAGAGCTGGAATTTATCACATTACACGCAACAATTAGGAATTAGACTTTGGGGTGATGTAGTCTGGTAAATTGCATTCTTTCCACCTGAGGCTATGTTTAACAAAACATTAATGCAAAAATGCAGGGCATTATCCAGTCCTCTCTCTCTCTCTGTATTATACATATATTTCATCTTTACTTCAAGACCAGTATAAAGCACACTAAAAACATCTTGTCAGGGTTTTTTTTTAAATTATTTTTTTTGCATCTGCTGCTGGAGGAAGCTGCTAAGGGAGGAACTTGCTCATTCACAAGATAGTTGTTGGGGTGAAAATGTAATTGGCCCCTTTAGGGTTTGCTGAATATTTGCATATCTTTACTATTGAATGTTAACACAACTTAATGTGAATCCTAGTAATATGTAAAGGAAGTTTGAGAAAATAGATAACACTAAAGTTTGGTGATGTTTCATTATTTCATAAACAAGGACATCTAACATGGGGCCTGCAAGTATGGAAAATAATGTCCCTTCCCATGTTTTATCAACTGGAATAAGTAGGACCAGCACTTCTTTGAACAATCAGGCTGTCAGATTGTCCATAACAATCTCAAACTTTGGCTCTCCTCATTATAAGGAAGTTCTCACGACAAAGATTCAGAGGCATATTATGCCCCTTCAAAATAAATTTCTGAAGATCTCCATAAAAGAATTATTGGTGTTCTTCAGTCTGGAAGAGTTACAAAACCATTTTGAAAGCTCTGGAGCTCCACAAATCCTCAGAGACACTGTCTTGAAATGGAAAAAAAATAGTGAATAGTGAATCTTTCCTAGAATTACTGTCCTGACAATCACTCCCAGGAATTCAATGCAATGTTGTCAATGAAGTCACACAGAACCCTAGAACAATATCTAGGGATCTACTGGCCTATCTTGTTTTGGCTAAAGATAGAGTTCATGACTCCATGATCAGAAAAGCACCAGATAAAAACAGGATTCCTATGTTCAGCCCTAAATTGCATAAAAATGTTGTGGCAGGATCAGAAATAAGCACTGGTTGCTAGAAAACACAACATATTACTGAGTTGAAGCAGTTTGCTATCATGGAATGGCCGGAAATCCTACACAATGGTATGAGTCCATGAAGCTTTGCCTACAATTAAGGCAGATAGCGGAGGTGCAACCAGTTACTGAATCTAAGGGGGTGATTACTTTTTCACTAGAACATCAGTTTGCTTTTCCAGCAAGCCCTAGGCCAGGGTGTTTTGTGAGAATTGTCAGCAATTTATTTTCATTGTGTGTGTGTGTGTGTGTTTAAATTTTCCAACACAAGGTTTTGATTTTATTGGTTCCCTTGTGGTTTTTCTTTTAATAATATATTTTATAATGCATTTTAATTGTTTGTATGTCACCTTTTGTCCTCCAATTAGGTGGCTTATACACTGAATAAAATAAAAAAGATGGATGTCTTTGGTTGCAAAATAAACAAAAGGGGAACCCAACACTTAGTTAAATCAGATTTCCTTTCTATATCTGTATGCCCCCCATGAAGCTCTGATAACATTCACTGGCAAAGATATGCAAAAATTCAGAAAGCCCTATAGAACTGTACCTCTCCCTTGATAACTATTTTGCAAGAGTGCGCATAACATAGTCTCATAATTTCCAGTGATGTTCACCATCCTGAAATGACTCGGGACACCATGATCTCTAAGCACACTTATTTTCCCTTTCCTCTAGTTAGTATCTCCTTTCTACAGTCTATAAGAGAACAGAGGAGAGAAGGAAGCATCTTGAGAATACTTAAGAATGGTGATTGGAATGACTGGGAAGTAGCACTTCCTCCTCCCTCCCAATTTTGTCAGGAAGAGAAAACAAAAGGAGTTTTAAGATAGTCAGCCGATTCCATCTTGTGACAAGTGTTTACTTCCCCTCTCTCACCATCCCCCCTTTTGGCTCTGATTTATACAGCTATAAAAAAACCAAGTAGATCTTACACATTTGAGGTTTTCCCAAAACTGGTTTTTGGAAATTCTTTTGTCACAGTTTTGTAAAAAGGCCTCCCCCACCCCTAAGCTTCCTCTGCCAGGTGCCAGGGCTGTGAGATGTGTCACTATTTTAGTTAACAGATTTTTTATAAAAAATTATTGCCTCTGAAATCAGTGCTACCCAAATAGTTGTGGGAGAATATAAATTCTTATAGTTCAGCTGTGCTGGGACATTTTTATATATTTTTGTTTAAAAGGGTGTCTATATAAAGTAACAAGTAGAGAAAAAGACTAGAATGCAATCAAATGTGGCTTTAACAAATTCCAACCAAGTTCAGATGTCCTCATCATTGCCAACATCTGCAGTCTGTAAGTTTTCCTTCTTGTATTTCTGCCTCTAGAAAGTGCTCCCATTTTTTGGTGATTTTACTGCATCCCATTTTCCTTTCCTAAATGACTAAGATTGCCATGACAGTCATCTTGCTGAAGGCAGTTTCCTGCTAATAGTGTGTTTCATTTTAATCTTTTCTAATAAAGAATCTTTTTTTTATTGGAATCTTAGAACAACATAAATTCTGCAGCTGTTAACATTGGGTATATTTCTTCATTCAAATTATAGATCAGTACAAATCTAAATCTAGAGTAGTCTAAAAGAGGCTGTCTGTGCTAGAGAAGTAAAATGAGACACCTGTAGTATATGTGCTTGTAAGCCTTTGAGAAAGCATCTGGCCTGAGAGAACTAATAGCACAAAATGCTATGAGAAGACAATATGGAAAAGAAACAACAACCATCAAGCAATCTTCAGCTCGTATTAAAAATCTCTCTTTGTCCTCACTCTGCTTTTCCCAGATATGCAGGGCCAGTCACGCTTGGATGGATCCCGACGAGGCACTGGGAAAGACTGTCCATTCTGTGGAAAATCCTTCAGATCTTCCCACCATCTCAAAGTTCACCTCCGTGTCCACACAGGTAAGCGCCAGGAATGGTAACATGGGGTAAGTAAGGCGTGGAAGTAGGCAGTAAGGTTCATTTGCCCACTACCTAACCTTTCACATTAAATCATCTCTCCCAATTTATATGCCACTGTGCTGAAACCAATATCATTTGAAGGTGTACTACAGGAAGACCATTTGGTCTAGCCCACAAATTTCAGTGCCCAAGTTGGGTAGGTTAACAACAACCTTCCTTCCATTAGCATGACACATAACCAGAGCTGTCTTCAAGGACTGGAACTGCTGAGTTCCTGTCCATGTGGGTCTTCACTGGTGTTATATATTTATTTATACACTCTATGCATGTAAACAGTAATATGACTAAGGCCAGAAAGCAGTTATTTTTTTAGTACTCTCACTCTCAGTGGTTGTACTTATTGGGCCCAGAGGGAGAAGCAAGCAAATGAAAAATGCTGACAGCAAGAAGGGGCTCGGTTAAGTTGCCTTCCTCATGGGCCTCTTCACACTGAGCATCACCCGTCACCCCAGCAGACAGAAATCTCTATGCATAAGCCCAACTGAAATGTACAGTACTAAAATGTTCTTGTTCATTCTAGTAGAGTTTTTGCAAGAGAACTTCCATGAGGATTGTTAGGACTCTCTACTATCCTTTTTGGCTGTCTCACCTTGTCTCATGGCAAGGTCCCCTCTTAATCTCTCTAGGTGATTTTACGGCAGTATTTCACTCTCCCCCTACCCTACCTCACAGGGTTCTTGTGAAGAGAAAAGATCATTCCCAAGTATCCTGCTCTGATCTGATATATAGATATAGATATGCATACATACCACACTTTATGGATGTTCTTGCCTTCATTTGCCGATTTAGTTAATTTCACAGTGAGGGCTGTCGGGCAGAGTGCAAATCACAAACACTCCTGTTTGTGCAGAGCGCAGCAAAAACTCCA